CGTAAAACTACGAAACAAGTTAATAATGTATCCATCAGCTAGTGCTAAGTTAACATCTTGTAGAAGAACCTACATAATGTCACAAAAAAAACAATATAATGTCAAAAAAATCGACATAATGTCCCTTTTCAAGATACGTAATACCCGTGCCGATCTTCGCACATCCAGGACTGGCCGTTACAACCGCGCCTTTGTCTCTAAAGTGTCGAGATTGTGGAACAATCTACAAGAGGACGCTTTTCCCAGTTCTATTTACTAACCTTGTGCAGTTCAAAAATCGGATTAACAAAGTTTCTTTGGGATCCTCATAGCAGTGGTGGTGCCCTGACATTTAGGCTTGCGCGGCAGCTTCCGTATAAAAAAATATATACAAATTTATAAAGGTACTACATTTACTCAAAAGCTTGTTGTTCATTTGTAGACAACGATCGCTGTTTCAAAGAAACTGATGCAGACTTACAAAGTAGGATGTAGGCTTCACAGTTGTACAAAATCGCCATCAGACGGATGATATCTCGTGCAAGTGTGGTCAGTGGTAGTGATGCTTATCATTATGACAATATATTTTTTTTAAAACTAACTCCACATAATAAAAAGCTAACTTCAAATTACTTTCAAACTCAGAAATAACGGAAATGACTTCAAGATGAAATGGAGGAAAAGTCAGGAGAATACTATGTTGTCTCGACCTAATAACAGCTTCTAGATCTCTTTTCTCTAATTCAGCTGGACCGAAAATTGAAGAAACAGTGATCATTATTCGTAAGATACTATCTAATAACCGTGAAATTGAACTTGAACGCTCCCAGTGGTTATGATTACTTTTTGTAACAAAATATTGCTCCCAATGTCGAATCGAACGTTTGATGCATCGTGTAACATCGGATATAGACTATGCCCGATAATGTTAGTCCCTCACCCTCTTTTTAAGCATTCTAGATGGTGAACGACATCGGATTTGTGCGTTTCAACGCGATCTCGGCTCGGAAATCGTGTCGCACATTTTCAGATATGGATCTTGTATGCTAAATCGAATGTCTGCTCCAGGCAACCCTATTTACACACAAATCGCATGTCAATCGACTTACAAAAAATGCCTTTCTTATCCTGGAACAAAAACGCTGTCATTCGATGATCCGTAGCTTAGTAAATTTCAGAGCTCCTAATTTTAGCCTCCCCCTTCTTTCCCTACCCTCATAATAATTGGATAGCAGAGTAGTATTTGTAATAATAGTAATATCAATAATAATAATAATATTTATTTCGGTGGACTAAAAGAGTATAGGAGACGCGAAAATACACATTTAAAGCATATAGAGACAGCTTAAGAAATAGGTAGCACATATAAAAAACTGATTAAAATCACTATCACATGTACAGACAAATAGAAATATCACATATCCAAAAATTCCCTCCAATCATAAAATGCGTTTTCTTCAAAATGCATTTCTTTCAAACTTCCGTATATGCTCTTTAAGCTTGCATCTAACGTGATCTAACGTGATTATACAACTTAATTGCCATACATTCTGGAAACTTTTCAAAAAGTGACAAATTGTGACTATGCAAAACTAGCGTGACTCTGTTCCTAGTTTCATAGCAGTAAACATCAGCATTTGTAACAAACTCATTTAAATTTTGTTATTTATACGTTCAGTCATATAAATTGATGGTAGAGTGAGTGATTTTTCCGTTTAAACCAAGACCTGCATGGCTCTCTAGAGTCTAGACGATAAAGAAGCATGTTCCTAAATCCTCTTTTTTGCAACATAGACATTCTTGATGAAAATCGAAATGAGCCCCAAAATAAAAATACGCAGCTTCAGGTTTGAGTAAAATTGAGCATGATAGTAGGATATCAAAACAGCCTTACTTCAAACCAGTCTTAGATGAGTGAGTGCGTTTTGTAATATTACGAATCTAAACGTAAAACTCGTATGCGGAAATGGAGGCCGGCATATTAAACAACGTATAAACGACACTATGAACACAAATTATATGGCTTAAATATCTGTTTCAATGTGCAAATATGCTAAAATTAACTCCTTTCGTTATATGGGGTGAGTCATTTTAAATTTGGAAGTGAATCGGCTGTACAAAATAAACTCATTGTCATTTCTTTTGAGATTTTTTTTTATATATTGAACCTTTACTTTTAAAGATGAAATAGAATGTCATTCAAATGACTGCCGCAGCTGGTCCGACAACACCTCATACCAATATACCAAATTTCATGTACTTTTTCGATTGTTTGAACTTCGAAACTTTGATTTTGTGTTTCAAGTACTCATCTAGCTGGATGGTTAGCAAAACATTCATCCTTAATGGGTCCCTACAAAATGCAATCAAACGGATGCAAATGGGAACTCCGAAGCGACAAATTGGCATCAGTATTTCGATTTATTAACAGATTTTCGAAAACGCTGCCCATCAGTTATCACGTGGTCTGGTGACAAGTTGCGCCATTTTGTTGAAACCAAATGTCCATACAATTATGCTCAACGGTTAGAAATAGAAAGTCTTTGAGCATGTGATGATCGCCATTGAGCGAAACGGCAGCTCCTTGCTCATTTTGTAAGACACATGGCCCAATGATGCCACCGGACCAAAAACCGCATCAAACAGTGACTCTTTGTGGATGCAATGGTCTTTTTTCGACGTTGTGGGGATTCTTTGAAACGACCATTTTTCGGTAAAAATTTCTACGTTTGACCAAGCAATTTTCGACCAATTGTGTAACGTAACGTCAGACAAAACTAATTTTTCGACACGGAATCAATGAGATTTTAGCTTCAGATGTCAACATAACCGGCACGGGTATTAAGTGTATCTTGAAAAGTGGCATTATGTCGTTTTTTTGACGTTTTATAGGGTTTTTGTAACATAACGTAGATTTTTCTACAGGATGTCAACTTAGCACTAGCTGTTGTTCATTTGTTATTGAACTCGTTTTGCAGCTGTACGTACGTGTCGCCTATATGTGCTGATGCTTCACCTACAATGTTTGGCTCTGATGTGATGTAAGATCTACTTAAGAGACGGCATTATTGGAGGTCTAAGCTTTAAGTTGTATAGTATAGATGGAAAGAAACGACAGCGCATAGATGCATAGTGAAGATTTGTGTGCTAATAATGGTTTCTTGTCTCAAATAGACTTACTTGAGACGTATTCAAGACTAGAAATTCATTGTGCATCCACTTTTGCAAATTTGCTGAATTTCAAAAATGAGAGAATTGAGAAAACAAAATCCCTGGTTAGTGAAGTAATTAACTTTGGAATCTTATATTTATTCTCACATACTGCCACATACTGCAATTATATTCACTCTCATATAGTCATATACATGCTAACAGTAATTACACTCACGGACGCGGTGGAGATTTCCCATAATTCTCCTCAAAGTTTTTGAAAGCACAAAAAAAAGCAGAAAAAATCGAAATTTATAACTTTGAACATAACCTGTCTTCAGAAAGGATAACATATAAATAACCCATCGGCCACAGCTGAGAGATTTACTCCATTGTCAGCATGTTCAGTAATAATTTTACCATAACAAATATCACTGATGTTATACCCATGCAGGCCAATACACATAATCAGTCAGATGCGATCTTGCTATCCAACCAACTTTCTACCTTTCACATTTTCTCAGAGATAAATACTAGTTGGCTTTCTGCAGTCAACAATGCAAGCTTGAGCATGTCGTGTCGTTGAGTCATACCTCCATAGATGGACGCTTTTGATGACGCTCGCAGCGAACATAGCGAGCAAACGGGGAATGAAATATTTGCACAATAAAAGCTACCTAGTCTGCAAAATTTACGTTTTTTAGTATTTTTACCTGTTACCTCTGACATCGAATTCCATACAATAGATGGTTCATTCTGTGTGATGCCATTAGCTATAACATCAGCAGATATCTATATTCATAAAAATATTTAAATAGGGAAGAAGCAATGACTATCGTTTTTGCTTCTATTTTATGAGATTACATGGAGAATAGTACATTATATCAGAAACACATGAATTCATTAGATGAAAACACCTCAAGTATCTTATCATGAATAGAAGTGACGTCACCGATCTTCGTTCGTGTCACAATGAGCAATTACAAAATGTTGCTTATTGTTTAAAATAATTGTTAGATAAAATTAAAACCTTGCAGTGACCACTCTTTTCAAGGTTTGTCAGCACATTTTTCATTTTCTGTATTGTAATATCATCTTAATGTAACACTGTATACCACGCTCCAGTACATAACGTCAATGTACTACAAATGCTTATTCTACTACACTGTTACCACCAAAACTATTACGTATCCAATCACAAACTTGTGAAATAGTGTATTTCGAATGAGTTTGGTTCTAACGCCTTAGGAGGGTATTATTCAAATTAGAATTCACGACATGTTTACGATTACAGTTAGACAGTTCCGTTAATCTGGCTGTGGTCTGACTTAGCGTAGGGTCCGACGGACCTACTGTCTCAATATTTTGATCAACTAAATACAAACAAGTTGCCGTCAGAGAGTAGGGTAGGGTGCCCTAACTTTGCGCAGGAGGTAAGATTGCGCAGCTCCCATATTTCGAAAGCAAAATGACATTGTCGACTAACTTCTCTCGTGTTCTGGGCCGTTGCTGTGAGTGAGTGCGCTGTAGAAAAAACAAACCAAAAACCTATCAAAACCTAGTCGCAAGGTAAGTTTGAAGTTAAATATCGATTCTGATGTTATTGTTTCTCAATTTCAAACTGTAATTACATGAAAGCCTGAAGTACTATCAAAGATTTGACCAGTGTTTTCGTTTGCGTGATTTAACCTATACAGCCGGCGAGCGATATAATTTTTGATATTTTCAATAGATGGCGTTAGGAGTCACATAATTGTATATTCTGCTATTCCCTAAGACTGCGCAGAGTCACGGTCCGTAACACTACGCGCGCAGACTTACCCTAGCATAACTTTTAATTTGATATAACAACATTAAATATTCATTTTCAGAATGCCTAATCAAAGAAAAAGGTCGTCGGAACGTTCGCTGTGCCCTCAATATGTTTTAGAGGAAGCTAGAAGACGAATAGAAAATGGTGAAAGCAAAAGAAAAGTAGCATCGTCGTACGGGATGAAAGAAAGTACTTTGCGGTATCGCCTGAAGAGAAAAGAAGCTGCAACAAAGCTTGGTAGATATGATGCAACTCTTTCTCCCGAAATTGAACAGGAATTTTGTAATTATTTGGAAGATCTTGACAATATGTTTCAAGGGATGACTCCTAAGAATTTGAGGATTGCTGCTTACGAGTTTGTGGTGAAAAATAATATTCCTCATCGTTTCAATGCCGAAAAGAAAATGGCAGGCAAACACTGGCTTCGTGGATTTCTCAGTCGGCACCCAGATCTTTCACTAAGACGTCCAACTTCCACAAGTATTGCTAGGGCGATGGGATTTAATAAGCCACAATGTGAAAGGTTCTACAAAAATCTAGCAGAATTGATGGACAAGTATAAGTTTCCTCCAACTTCCATTTATAATATGGATGAAACTGGTATGTCTACCGTACCCAACAATCCTCCAAGGGTCATATCAAAAAAAGGAAAGCGCGCTGTTAATAAGATTTCTAGCGCTGAAAGAGGAACGAACGTAACCGTAGTGAATGCTATGAGTGCATCTGGACACTTCATTCCTCCCGCTTTCATATTCGGTCGCAAAAGGATGAAAGCAGAATTGCTGGATGGCGCACCACCAGCGTCTATTGGAATGGTCTCAGACACAAGTTATATTAATAGTGAACTGGCTAGGTCACTTTAAAGATCACACAAGACCAACTAAAGAACACCCTATCCTACTGGTTCTTGACAATCATGTATCGCATTGTACAATAGGGGCTGTAGACTTTTATCGAGCGAATAACATAATAGCTCTAACCATACCTCCACACAGCAGCCACAAGATGCAACCACTAGACAAAGGTTTTCATAGTGCGTTGAAGACTTATTTTGCGAGCGAATGTGAAAAATGGATGAGAAACCACCCTGGCAGAGCTATAACTGCTTTTCAGATGACGTCTTTATTCACTCCAGCGTTTAATAAAGCAGCTACAGTTGGTTGTGCTGCTGAATGTTTCAAGGTGTCCGGAATCTACCCATACAATCCAGATAGCAACACCCCATGAACAGAGAGAACCAGTTATGGATAATGAGCCTCGTGCTTCTGTTTTCAACAAGGAGCCAAAAAAACCATCAACTCCGAGGAACGCTTTTACAGCAATTGAGAATGTTTCTCTAGTAACAGAAGCTCCAGTCGAACCACTTGTGAGTTCTGAGTCAGGGCAAAAGAAAAACTTCGACGGTCCTCCAGCTGAAAAAAATGGTGGTATCTTCCAAGTTCCTGCACAGGTACCATCTTGCAGCAATGAATCGGCCGCAATCAAAGTGAAACTCCAAGATATTTGCCCTATACCAAAATCAGGTATAAGAAAGACCGCAAACAAGCGAAAACATAAGAAATCTGAAATACTTAGTGGTTCTTCATATAAAGAACAGCTATTAGTAGAGAATCAGTTGAAGAAAACTCCTGAGAAAAAAATGAAAAAAGTTTGCAGAAAGCCTTCTAAATATCCTAAAAAAAAAGAAATGGGCATGCGGTGGCTGCAATGAGGAGTATAAAGAGCCGATTACAGAGGATTGGATCGGTTGTTCTGTTTGTTCTGAATGGTGGCATGAGAAATGTACGGCCTACGAAGGCATTGGACAGTTTAAGTGCGATTTATGCGCTTAAGATACCTTATTCTGTTTTAGTTCCTACTTTTAAGTTTTTGTTATCTATGCGCAATCTTAACGATCTGAATGCGCAATATCCAGGGACCTGTAGTGGTAAGACTGCGCATTTACATCTTTGTCTTTTTTTTTTAATTACTAACAAAATTGTTATCAGATGTTTGAATAAAACTTATATTAACAAAGTACATTAATGTGAGCCTAAATAGAAATTAAGATTATTACAATAGGTTATTGATTCACGATTCTACGCCTTATCAAACCTTAAGTGCGCAGACTTGGGGCACCCTACCCTACGTTTGTTGTTGATTAGTCGTTTATGAATAGATGTACTCGTATAATACAGGGTGGCGCAGAGAAAACGCATGATTTTCACGTAAGCATAACATTTTTTATGTTTAAGTTAATTTTATTTTAACTACAGGTAAATAAAGTAATAATAGTGCACTTTTAAATTAATTATGGTAAATTATGTCACTCAAGTGTCGCCCTTCTTCGCGCTCGCACATCTCCAACCGCTCTTGAAAGTTGTGCATTACAAGTAGGATCATTTCTTGTGGTATTATTGCGAGTTCTTGACGATTAGCAATTTTCAGTTTCTGTAACGTACGGGGTTTGTGAGGGTACACTTTAGCCTCAAGGTAACCCCACAAAAAGAACTCACATGCAGGTAAATCTGGGGAGCGTAGAGGCCTAGGAACATCGCCGAAACGGAAACTCACATGTTCAAAAATTGCTCGACGGCAAACACACGATGCTCAGTTGTCCACGGTGCCACGGCTAAAACTGCATTGCCTGAGTTCTCTGCTGGTGGTGAGACAAGGTCAACCCACTTCTCTTTGCGAAATACTATTCATTCAGAAAACATGCGTTTCCTCTGCGCCACCCTGTATAATCAGCCTTATCCTTGAAAATGCAAAAATAACATCTAAGGGTCAATAGGCATTAGTCCTATAAATTGGTAGTTGTGTGGAAGTTTTTATAAATTGATATTGCTTTTGTAGATTGTGACGTGCCCTGTTCACATTCACGAAGAAAAAGAAACTTATTCCAGTATGCGTATCAGATAGAGAATGTCAATATTAATTCTGTGAGTAATATTCGGGACCTGAATGTTACACTAGATACGAAATGGAGCTTTAATAGTCACATAGATGAAACCATAAATAAAACGAATAAGTTGCTTAGCTTTATTAGAATACACTCTAGCTACTTCAACAATTCTGCTACCCTGTTATCACTATAGTATACGCTTATACGTAGTAATCCCCCCCTTTTGCGTCTATTATTTGGAACCCACAGTAAGAAGTCCACATATGGAGAATTAAGTCTGTCCAACATAAGTTCTTGCAAATTCTGGCATATAAGGCGTGTATCATTGCCCATAATCACGATTATATCTTCGTAATGGAACACTTCAAAATCTTACCTCCTGCTAAGAGAAGGCTATTATTTGGTTTATGTTCTCTTCGCAGAATCTTGAACAATCAAATTGACTGCTGTTACCTTTCATCGAAAATCAATATATGTATATGTACTGATAAGAACAAATCCTAGACACTTCACGTACTTCAATATTTTGTTTGGTAGAACTAGTTTTGGTTTAGACTCTCCACTGGTATGAATGCAAAGAAATCTGAATAGCTATGGTAAATTTGCTGATATTTTTCTTGTGAAATGATAAAGTTTAAATGTTTGAAGAAAAACATAATGTTTGCCACTCCCTAGTAGGCTCCGTTCCCATTCTCTGTTGTATAATTCTCGAGAGTGAATTGAGCATTATACCATTGCTCTTTCATAAATTTAAATTATCAATAACAATGCTTACAACAGTATGCTCAACTGGTCTGTGGATGTCTATTTTGGAGATTTTCTCTGTTTGATTTCCCTGGTTTCTTAAATAAATAGAAATTATGTTACGAGTACTATATTGCCGGAGCAGGAAGAGGTATGAATGATGAAAAGGCGTGATGCTCTTTTCTCAAATGATGTCTGATTTGTATGGTTTGGTAGCACCGAGACGTACCTGTTTGAAGATTATCTGTATATATACTCGTATATATAAATACCCAAAATTAATCTACCTGCCATTTATAATGCATCGGGATATAGAAAATGATACCTACCTTCATTCATTTCAGCTTTAAATCTTCTGGATCATTACATTAGATTAAAATTCCGCCACCAATTGCCATATTGTTTCCGCAGATTACATCCATCCGTAACAGCGGTATCATACTGCCTGTCCCAAGTAATTTAGAAGTCAATATTAGGTCGATGAGGCATTTATTACCAATACGATATGAACAACTATTTGGGTCATAATGTGGTAAAATGTGTATCAGCTATACTACAATCTGAAATCGTGTTGCGTGTATGTGATAGAAAAAAATGCCTGACTATTCTCTATTTTTAAATTTCAGTCGTTGCCTAATCCAAAGAGGGAGAAAGAGAGATGGACGTATCGGGGTGTGTTCATTAGTAGCATTTGGTGTTTGATTTTGATAATATGTGGTTTATCCCATCTTTTAGGCCGTAAATAGGGTAGGTTCTGATTGGTGTCATAAAGAAGAAAAGACTACTTGAAAATCACGTTCTGTATTACACAGTCCTCATATTGAACGGAACGCACCATTACCACAATACTTCCAAATGAACATGAATGCGCATTAAAATAAATTGTGATTAAGTCTCTTTTAATAACCCATTAGCATTGAGAGGTATGCTTATAAGCTTTAGGCCTCTTCCGGTATAAATTTTCAAACAGTTCATGAAAGTAAAAATTGTTCCTTCAAAGTTAGTGTCAATGCCGAAATCTACACTAACATTTCCTAAAAGCATCCTTGTAACCTCAAGTTGTACAATAGTGTTATTTAGTAGACATGTTGAATTGTTTTTACCAATCTCTGTTGCAAACTTTCAAGGAATTTTATTAGTGATAAAGAAGTTTTTACTTACCAATATTCTCAAAAAGGAGCCTACATTGCGGGCATATTAGGGTAGGGTAGGTGAGCGATAACCTCTTGATTTGTCTCCCAGGTCAAGAATTCGTTAGTTGCATTTTAGAGGTGTGCTTTTTGTTATTTTGTACCAACAAATTTAACTTCTTGGTCAAAGGCGTATTGGGACTCTCATGTGGTACGTAGTTACCAATATTTGTGAAAGGAATCATCTCTGAATGCAATTCAACTTTTGAGGACAGCATTCAAGGATATATAATTTTGACAAACATAGGTAACTTTTTCCTGGGCGGAGGCTCATTTTAACAAAATGCTAGTTGGACTTGCATTACCATTGCTTTTAATCTGGCCCCTAAACACCGCCCTGATTCGCCGATGAACCATGTCCTATTAACTAACTTTATCCGGTGGGTTGTGAAAGATAATTTGGCAGAAGGTTACGGACCGTTAAATCAATGACAGATATAGATAAGACGAAAAGGTTGTTCGCTAATAACTATGCCGAGGATGAGGAGGTTCATAAAAATTGCTCTGACGACGGTTGCCTGAGTTTGTTGAATCTGAACATTGCAGTGCTGCCATAGCACCCTATCCCGCTAAAAATAGACACCTCTCCATAGAACATTTTTCTTCTCCAATTATGATCTGGATAATGACCTTGACAAAGAACGACAATCTCCCTGCAGACATTCGTCAGAAAATTTCTGACAAAAGAGCTACAATTAAGCAAGCGATAAGGTCTTGTCATCTAGATAACATTCGCAGAGCGACGAATCTTGTTCATGAAGTGAGAAGTGCTTTCATGAATACCGTAATGAGCAATGGAGCGGTCCTGGGAGCATGATCTGTAGGACAGGGAAAAAGGTCGAGGTTTTCGATGATCTCCTGAGAATCCGCATTGCACACCAGGAGAGCTTCAAGGTCATATTAAAGACCTCGCGGAAGTCCTTAAATCATCTCGTGGCAATAATCAATGGCATGCTAAGGACATAACACTTCCCAGCGGCGCGGAAGACCGCTTAAGTTATAATGATTTTAGTCTAGTGTCAGCTCCTTCTAAGCTCGCTGAAAA